GCCCGGGCAGGAGGGGCGCGGCGGGTGGGGCCAGGCAGTCTCTCCCTGCCCTCGGGGCCGAAGGCGCACAGCGAGGGTCTAGCGTCGGGGTGTCCGCGGCCAGCCGGGTCCCGCTGGGGCCCTCGGGACGATCGGAAGTGACCGCGCACCAAAGTCCATGAGGCCGGGGGTCGGCCTGCCCTAAGACTCCCGCCCGGTCCCGGTTCTACGCCGGGCTGGCTGCGGGGCCCCTGGGGCCCGACCTCCCCGGGGTGCCCCAACCTGCGGCAAGGCTGAGGTCCCGCTGAGGCATGAGTCCCGGGATCAGGGACGGCTCTGGGCTGACTCCTGGAGGATGGACTAGGCCGATCCCCAGAGGGGAGGGGGTCGGGCCGAGGCCCTGTCGGCGCGTTCCCGGATCCCGTGTTCTCGGCTCCTCGCGTCCCACTATCGGCTCTTTCGTGTGGGACTGACGGCTCACAAAACAGTTACATTTCAATATCATTCGACTCAAAACCACCCTGTGGACGCCGTGCGAGCATTGTCCCCATTTCACAGCTTGGGAGCTGCGACCAGAGAATGTGAGCGCGCCTCGCAAGGCCGTGGCCGCGGCGGGACTCGAACCCTCCCTCCCTAGTGCGTGCCGGTGCACCTTAGGACCCGGGGGCGCCGGGGCGGAGCGGGGCCTCGCGCGCGGCCCCCTGGGAAGTGTAGTCCGCAGTCGCGGGCCGGGGCCAAGCGGGAAGCGCGTGGGACTACCTTTCCCGGCATGCCGCGCGGCCGCCGGCGCCCTTGGCCCGTCCGCCCCGCCCCGCCCCTCGGCCCCAGCCCGCCCCGTCCGTTGAGGTCCCGCGCCGCATGGAGGCCGGCTGAGGAGCGCCGCTGCCTCGCCTTGGTACGCCGCGCGGCGCGGACAGCGCGTGCGTGAGGACGGGGCCCGGCACCGGGCGGGGGGCGGGCCCGGGTCAGGGCCGTGGGGTGACTGTGGGGGGCGGGAGGAGCCAGCCCGAGTCGGGGGGTGGGGGCCGGGGGGGTCAGGCCCGGGTCAGGTTTTGGGGCCGGGGTAGCAGGTCGTGGGGGTCAGGCCCGGGTCAGGTTCAGGTTTTGGGGCCGGGGGAGCAGGTCGTGGGGGTCAGGCCCGGGTCAGGTTCAGGGTTTGGGGCCGGTGGAGCAGGGTCGTGGGGGGCCGGACCCGGGTCAGGTTTGGGGGCCAGGGTAGCAGGTCGTGGGGGCCAGGCCGGGGTCAGGTTTCGGAGCCGGGGGAGCAGGTCGTGGGGGTCAGGCCCGGGTCAGGTTTGGGGTGGCAGCAGGCCCCGAGCGTTCCCCGCCACCGCTGCCTGGAGCGACGCTGCCGAGGAGCGGAGCCCCCAGGGCTGGGGCCGGGAGGGTCAGCTGCGGCCTCGCGGGAGGGCGCGGGTCGGACCTCTAGTCCCGGGGTCCTCGAGGGTCGGGAGGGCCCCAACCATCCCCGCCTCCCGCCTGCGGTGGAGCCGGCCGAGGTGAGAGTGGAGGAAGGCGGCCCAGGCCTGCGGGTCTCTGGGGGTGCTGGAGGAGGCCAAGCGTGAGGCCCCGGACCCCCGTTGTCCCTCCGGCCCCGCTGAAACCTGGGGCTTCGCTCCTCTGTAGGTGCCTTTGCCCTTCAAGTGGAGCAGAGCGGGGTTCCCATATGGGCGAAGTGGACGCCAGATCGTCCCCCGCTGTGCTCAGCCCAAACTTAAAAGGTCTTTGTAACTGAGCTACCGTGAAGCTGCCGTGTGTCTTTTTCAAAACTCTTACAAGAAAAATGGAGTGGGAGCTGTCTGGGTACTGGCGTCCCAGAAACAACCAGGAACTTGCGAAGGTGCTGAGGTCCCTGCGGGACTCCCGCAGCCTCGGTAGCCTCCAGATGGACGCCTCCTAGCTTTTAGGTCCCTAAAGAGGCTGTGCAGGCCGCCAGGCTCACTGCCCTGTGTGTCTCTGCTCCCCGCTTGCTGCCGCCGCCCCTGCAGTGTGACTGGTGGGGCCGCTGGCCAGCCTCGCCGGAGGCCCTGATGCTGTGGGGTCCGAGGAGGGGGCCTGGCAGGGTGGGTGGGTGGCAGGAGCCTGTGGGGCCCCCTGCATGGTGGTCAGTGTGGGGGCTGTGCGTTGGCTGTGACCAAGTCCCAGGAGGTTGGGGGCTGCCAGGTGTGCTGGCAAGGAGGCCTCGGGTTCTGGCTCAGGTGTGTTTCCCGTCTCCCAGCTCTGCCACACCTGCGTGAAGCGGTCCCACCAGACCCGGGAGAGGTTTCCTGTGGCCAAAGGCGCCAGCCTCAGAAATGGGAAGCAGGGGAGGTCAGAGCTCTGGGCCACACCCTGGTCCCTCCGAGTTTGTCATTTCTGCAACCCCCAGGTCTGACCAGTTTGGAACCTGGGGTTTCTGAGCCGGTCTAGTGGGTTGGTTGAGAGATGGGTTTTTTCTGGGAACTGCATTTGGTGCTAGCTAGCTTTTGGTCTGCACTAGGAAGCTAGGCTGGAGTCTGGGAGGCAGTTTCTAGTAGGGTGAAGGGGATAGGATGGGTGTCTTAGCTCTGGCTGCTGTAACAAAACATCACAGACCAGGAAACTTTAAAAAAACAATAGGCTGGGCTGGGTGTGTTGGTGTACGCCTGTAATCCCAGCACTTTGGGAGGCCGAGGCTGGCAGATCACAAGGTCAGGAGATCGAGACCATCCTGGCTAACATGGTGAAACCCCGTCTCTGCTAAAAAATACAAAAAATTAGTCGGCATGGTGGCAAGCGCCTGTAGTCCCAGCTACTCAGGAGGCTGAGGCAGGAGAATGGTATGAACTCAGGAGGCGGAGCTTGCAGTGAGCCGAGATCGTACCCACTCCAGCCTGGGCAACAGAGCGAGACTCCATCTCAAAAGAAAAACAAAAAAAAACAGGCTGGGTGTGGTGGCTCACACCTGTAATCCCAGCACTTTGGGAGGCTGAGGCGGGTGGATCGCCTGAGGTCAGGAGTTCAAGACCAGCCTGGCCAATATGGCAAAACCCCGTCTCTACTAAAAATACAAAAATTAGCCAGACGTGGTGGTAGGTGCCTGTAATCCCAGCTACTTGGGTGGCTGAGGCAGGAGAATCACTCGAACCCGGGAGGCAGAGGTTGAGATCACGCCATTGCACTCCAGCCTGGGCAACAGAGTGTGACTCTGTCTCAAAAACAAAAACAAAAACAAAAATGAGGTCTCGGCCTGGCGCGGTGGCTCACGCCTGTAATCCCAGCACTTTGGGAGGCCGCGGCAGGTGGATCAGGAGGTCAGGAGTTCAACACTGGCCTGGCCAAAATGGTGAAACCCTATCTCTACTAAAAATACAAAAATTAGCTGGGTGTGGTGGCGCACGCCTGTAATCCCAGCTACTCAGGAGGCTGAGGCAGGAGAATCGCTTGGACACCGGGGTGGGGGAGATTGCAGTGAGCTGAGATCATGCTGTGGCACTCCAGCCTGGGCGACAGAGTGACACTCTGTCTCAAACAAAAAAAAAGAAAATGAGATCTCGCTAAGTTGCCCAGGCTGGTCTTAAACTCCAGACCTCAGACAATTCTCCTACCTCAGCCTCTCCTGAGTAGCTGGGGCTGTGGGCGAGTAGTCTTCTCCCACCATGCCTCACTGGTGCTGGGAAAAAACTTAACAGAAATTAATTTTCTCAGAGTTCTAGGGGCTGGACGTCCCAGGTCAAAGGTCACTGGTTGCCATCCAGCCTCCTGGCTTGTAGACGGGCCCTCTTGCGGCGTTCTCACCTTGGGGAGCGAGAGCTCTGTGGTGTCTTTTCCAGGAGTACTACCCCCGTCACCGGGGCTTTGCACTTATGACCTCATCTGAACCTGATCACCTCCCGGAGGCCCCACCTTCTAATACCTTCATAGTGGGAGTTAGGGCTCTAACCTGTGGGTTTTGGGGGACACAGTTCAGTCTGTAGCAGTGGGGCCTGAGCAGGCAGGTGGGATGTGCCGTCTGAGGCATCTGTGGAGCCTGACGCTGCAGGACATTGGATGCAAACAGCCTGGGACTGGATGTCACGTCCTGGGACAGACGCCCTGCGTCACGTCCTGGGACAGACGCCCTGCGGGACATTGGATGCAAACAGCCTTCTCTGATGCCAAAGGACTATAGATGCTGCTCTGATTTTGTGTCTAGGGCTTTTCTCGCGCACAACAGATGTCCTCCTGGGCTGTTGGGAACTCTCAGAGGCTTCGTCTGCACAGAGGATCATGGTTTCCAAAGCCAGATATCGCTTTTCACGGATGAGGAACAGCCCTTGGAGAACAAGTGTCTTCAGAGGCAGTGTCTAGGGTCTCCTGAAATCAAGCTGCTGAGTCTTTTCTTGCCCTGTGGGTCTCCACCCTGTTCTTTGCCTTTGGGACAGATCATGCTGTGGCAGAGAAGTTCAGAGGCTGAGGCCGACTACTAAAGCAGCGTCTGCATGTGGCTTGTGCTTGCAGCCAAGAGAGGGCCACCTGTGTGGGACAGGTGGGATGCTGACCCTGGAGGCAAGTTCCCGTCTTAACCAGAGGCTCGTTTGAAGCATCCTGCCCAGGGCAGCGCTGGGGTCTGAGATCCGAGGACCCTGTCTGCCGGCTACCCGTGCTCAGGAGGCATCTCCCACAAATCGTGTTCAGCACCCACCCCAGTCCTGGTCGGTGGACATCTGTGCGGGGCAGGGAGAGTGAAGCACAGCTGGCCTGATAGAAGCGTCTGGCTTCCTTCCAGGCTGCACTGCCTCCCAGCGGGTTGGCCTCACGGGTAACAAGGCCAGAAGCCGCTGTGAGGCTCCCTGGGGCAGTGCCAGCACTGGGGATTTGGGAAGGAGAGGTGTCTGTCCCCCCGGAGGGGCAGCTGGGGTCTGCTGATCTCTGCTGATGGGCCTGAGCGTATCTGAAAAGGACAGGTAGGAAGCAGGTGGCTGCAGTGTGTGCTGGCCGGACCCCAGGTGATGCTCTGCTGGGACCCAGAGGGGGCTCCCGTGTGCGCTGGCCGGACCCCAGGTGATGGCTCTGCTGGGACCCAGAGGTTGTAGGGGTGGGATCCAGGTGGGTGGTTCTTCAGACATTGCCTCTGAAGACACTTCAGAGTCCAGGCCCAGCATCTGTGGCTTTCGGGCCAGGGCCCTTTGCTCAACACCAGGCAGCTGGGAGAGGCTTTGGGCCCAGCTGTAAATGTCTGAGAGCACGGCTGCCTGGAGCAGGCTAGAGGGAGGAGGGCTGGTGACCTGAAATCACACCCTAGAGCTTCCAGGGGCCTCAGCGAGGAGGGAAAGAGAGTGCTGGGACTGCGAGGGGGACTGCCAGATATGTCCCCCAGAATCATGGGCTTTAGGTGCTGGAGGGGCCTCAGTGACCTTCCGCCTGGCCCCCTGCGGGCAGCACGCCTCTGCTGAGAGGCTTCAGGGGCCAGGGCTGGGGGCTGGCACTGCCTCTGGTGGCACTGACATCATCCTGCTCAAGGCTTGGCTGCCGGCCAGGAAGGCTTCTCTGCCCGTGCCGACAGGAGACCTGTGCACGCCCACCCCGTGGCACGACTGGGGTCAGGACCAGCGCCTGCTGCTGCAACTGAGATCCTGCCCTGTCCATGGCCACAGGCGCACCCGGGACCGGCCTCAGAGGCGGGTCTGGCCAGGCTGGGTGGAGGGCGGGGGCTGACCGCAGACCTGGGGCTGCCACACCCATGGAGGAAGGGCTGTGGCAACGTGGGCGCCTCCCGTTGGCTGGGCCGAGGCAGCCTCCCACCGGCTGCACAAGAGTTTCTTTAAGGAGTTTCCCCTGTGCGTGCTGGCAGCCTTGCGCTGCTCTCAGAGTCCCGACTTCCGTGTGTGAGTTTCCCCCGCGCTCCTAAGAAACTGCCTCCCAGACTCCAGCCTAGTGCTCCCCCCTGCTCGTAAGAGTCCCAACTTCCATGTGCAGCTGGACCCAGGGAGGCGGCCATCCCCCGGACCGGGTGCTTGTCTGGGCCAGCTGGCCTGGCAGCTGCTCACAACAGCTTCCAGCGGGTTTTGTAGCTTTCATCTGCAAAAGGGGAAGGAGGCGGCCCAAGCTGCCGAGGCCTTTGCTCCGACCAGTGCCAGCAGCACTTCCTGGATATGCCAACCATTAAGACGCCCAGGCCAGGGTTGGGTCCAGACTCAAACCCAGGTGGAAAGGAGTGGGACCCCCTGCCAAGGCCGCACAGCCCTAGAGGGGAGCCTGTGGGGTGGGCTCCCCTTGCCCTCTGCAGAGGCTCAAGGCCCCCGGGGGCATGAGGACTGGGTTCCCAGGCCAGCCTGGTGTTTATCAGCTGTCTCTTTAGTCTCAGCTGACCTCCCCTGACCACGGCCCCATTGCACTACCTGCCCCAAACCAGGCCAGTTCCTCTTCCAGAAGTCCCGGCTGTCCTCAGGGTGGGCTGCCCTCTTCTTGGTCAGCTTCAGATGGGGCCTCTGGTTGCACTGAGGCCCCTTCCCCTGCTCAGAACTGTCCCTGCCACCCCCCCCTCTGACTGCCCTCCTAGACACTGCATGGAGAGCTCCTTCCTGTTCACAGGTGAGGACACCTGAGCTTGGAGGCATCTTAACTCGGACATGCGTGGCCAGGACCCAGCTGGGTCCGTGAGTCCTGGCTGGGGCCGGGGTCTGTGCTTGCGGCTGTGTGCCAACAGGGTTTGCAGAGGAAAGGAACCTGATGTAGCATCTTATTACTCATTGTTCCTTTTTCTTATGAGTTCTGAGAAGTGGGCAGCAGTACTGATACGAGAATGACCCCAGATGCACGAAGGCATCAGAGCAGAACCTGGCAGTGGCCCCTTCTGAAGCACATACAAGCCCTGTTGTGTCCTTCACAGATGCTCGTCTCTGACTGATGCAGACACTTCAAGACAAAACCACAATGCCTTGCAAGACTAGACAGTTCAGAATAGTTCCCAACGGCTCTTTTTTTTTTTACTTTTTTTTTTTTCTCTTGAGACAGAGTCTCCCTTTGTCACCCAGGCCGGAATGCAGTGACATGATCTCAGCTCACTGCAACCTCTGCCTCCCAGGTTCAGAGCAATTCTCCTGCATCAGCCTCCCCAGTAGCTGGGATTACAGGCATGCACCACCACACCTGGTTAATTTGTGTATTTTTAGTAGAGACTTGGTTTCACCAGGATGGTCTGTGTTGGCCAGGCTGGTCTCGAACTCCTGAGCTCAGGCAATCCGCCCACCTTGGCCTCCCAAAGTGCTAGGATTACAGGTGTGAGCCACCATGCCTGGCCTGTTTTGGATATTTTAATGATTCTGCCTGGCGACACATCCATCTGCCAGGACATGCATGAGCCATTGACTTTGTCAACAGTTGCTCCTGGCGTTCCGTGGCCAGTCTCAGGAGAACCTGCTGGTCCCTGCCCCCACCTCAAGGGGCGCCATGGGTCTTGGCGGGCATGTGCCTCTGGTGCTACAGGCGCCTGGCTGTTTTCTTTCTCTTCCTTAGGCTCCTGGGCCCCCAGCCTGAGCTCCTGGTTTCTCTCTGAGGGTCTGTGGGGAGCTGTGACACGTCAGGGCAATGCCCCAGCCTGTCCGGGTTTCTGCCATGGTTCCTTCCACACCATGTTTGTCTTTTAATCTGGGAGAGAAGGTCTTGGCTCCAAACACGTTGAACTGTGTGCTTTGCGGATTCCTCTGTCTGTACTGACTCTGATGACGTTGCCTGGGCTGTAGTTACCAAAAGGGGAAGTAGCTTTTGTACAAAGGCCCTGGGGTCTTTGCCACGTGTCAGAAGCTGCGTTCTGTGTCCTGAGATCAGGCACGGACCCCAGGGCCGCCTTCCTGTGTCTGCCCACCATGCCGCGGTGAAGGTTGGGCAGCTCTGGCTCTGTTCTGAATGAGGCCTGAGCACCGGCAGCCCGCCCTAGCCCGTCTGCATTTTGCTTATGGTGGGTCCCCGGGGACCTGCTGGCTGTTCCCCACCCGGGCCTGACCTGAATGCACCCTGGACCTCAGTAGCCTTTGATGGGCAGGAGGCGTTTGGGGATATGGGGAAAGGAGCTCCCAGTCCCGCCCAACAGATGGTTCTAGACTGACAGAGCACTACGCAGTGAGTCCTGAGCCAGGCCTGGGGCTCCAGGTGGAAACTCCGCCTCTCATGCCTCTCCTCAGGCTCCCCACCCGTGCAAGAAGCCACCGCCCAGCCATGGACGGGGAGGAGCAGCAGCCACCGCATGAGGTGAGGTAGAGGCTGGGCTGGATGCACAGAGGCAGGGGTGGGGGACCTCCCCACTGTGTGGGTTCTCGGGGTCGGTCCCTGGCTGCTGTTCTGCAAAGGTGATCTTCACAGGGCTCTCCAGGGTCAGGCAGGAGGCACCTCCGAGGGAGAGGGGCCCTGGGCTGAGGCGGCTGGTGGCCCTGTCTGCCTAGCTTGATGGCAGCCATGCCAGTGACAGCCAAGCAGCAAGGGGCCTAGGCTCCACGGAGCGGCCACAAGGCCCTTTCCAGGGTACGTGGTCCGTGGAATTGCCACGGAGCCCTGGCTTTCTGGGGTGCATGGACCCTGACTTGAACTCTCCCTTCCGCCTGCAGGCCAACGTGGAACCTGTTGTGTCGTCGGAGGCTTCAGAGCCGGTGCCCAGGGTGCTTTCTGGGGACCCCCAGAACCTGTGTATGTCTCCCTCAGGGCCCTTGCACGTTCCCCCATGTTGGGCTGTTGAGTCAAGGAGGAGGGGGAGGCAGCCAACCGCTGCTAGGGGCTTGGAGCTTGTGGTGAGCAGGGTCCTGGCCGAGACCTGGGGTAAGTGCTGCTGGGCCTGGTGCTCCAGAGGGCAGACCTGGGCCCTGCCTGACAGTGGAGCCTCTTGGAGGGGCTGCCAACAGCACAGGCCAGCCCCTGGAGGGGCTCTTGAGCACAAGTAGTGTGAGCGGCATGGGAGTCCCTCCTTGCTGTGGCCTCAGCCTGTCCCTCCTGAGTGGGGTGGGGGGCCTGCTTTGCCTCAGAGCCCCTCCCCTAGCTAAGTCCCCTGCAGCACCCGCCCCCCACTGTCCCCCACACCAGGCGTCATCCACAGCAGCCCCCAGGGTCGCCCTCACGGGGTGTATGGGGCACAGGACTCCTGACGCCCTGGCTTCTCGACGGCATCCAGCTCACAGAGTTGGATAGCTGAGTCTCCATCACCGGGCAGGCCAAGCATGTGGCGTGTGATGCTCGCCAGGGGGCGTGTGCTCTGCACCTGTTTGATTCTCAGAACCCGGGAGGGTTCCGGAGCCCAGGCTGCCAGGGGGCCTGGTGGTGTCCCTGGGTGGGCCCGGCCCCACAACGGCCTGTGCTGCTATTGCAGCTGACGTGGACGCCTTCAATCTGCTCCTGGAGATGAAGCTAAAGCGGCGGCGTCAGCAGCCCAACCTGCCGCGCACTGTGACCCAGCTGGTGGCTGAAGATGGGAGCAGGGTGTACGTGGTGGGGACAGCCCACTTCAGCGACGACAGCAAGAGGGACGTCGTGAAGGTGAGCGCCACCGCCCGCCACAGCCCGGACGCGGGTTGGTGTAAGCTCCTGTGTCCTGCACTCAAAGGGACCTCGTGGCAGGGCCCGTGTGCCCGTGTGTGTGCACCGCAGGCCATCTGCTTCAACACTCCGTGGTCCCTGGGAGTGGCGCGGTGGGCTTCCTGCCTGGGAGCCATAACAGCCTCGTGCGTCTTCCCACTTGACAAGTGAACAAGCTTCACAGCTTCCTCTCTTGTTGCTTGAAGAATCAAGCTGTCACTGCAGCAGCGGGGTTAGCTAGCCCTGGGTGACGCCAACGCTGGCTGCCCCTGGGATGGGGCCCCTGGTGCTGGTGTCAGCTGTGCTGAGGGGCAGGGAGCTGGCCATGTTCACAAGGCGTGGCCTGCGGCTGTTGCAGACCATCCGGGAGGTGCAGCCTGACGTGGTGGTCGTGGAGCTCTGCCAGTACCGTGTGTCCATGCTGAAGATGGATGAGAGCACGCTGCTGCGGGAGGCGCAGGAGCTCAGCCTGGAGAAGCTGCAGCAGGCCGTGAGGCAGGTGCGCAGCCGCGGGTCGGGGTCGCGGTCGGGGTCAAAGCCACCTGTGCGCCTGTTGCCCAGGTTCCTCCCACGGCCCATGGCCCCAGTCAGTGTGGCTGTGCCTGGCCCGCCCTGGGGATTACCGGGTTGGGGACCTCCCCTGGGGCAGGAGAAAGGTAAGAGGCTCCATTACCCGGTTTCAGGCAAGGGACGGGGAAACGGGTGGCTCTCCAAGCTGAGGCCGGGACTGGTCGCCCGAGGACTGGGCTGCTGAGCCTTCGCTGGGGACGGGTCAGGTCTCACTGCAAGGCTGGCCCCCCAGGTACCGCACCCAGGCCCCAAAGTGGGTGGGGCTCAGGGCTCCTCCTGTCCCGACTTCTCCAGCCTTGCAGTGACTGCTGAGGCAGGACTTCCTCATTGCTCTTTGTTTTCGTTTTTGTTTGTTTATTTGTTTTGTTTTTTTTAAAGACAGAGTCTTGCTCTGTTGTCTAGGCTAGAATGCAGTGGTGCAATCTCAGCTCACTGCAACCTTCGCCTCCTGGGTTCTAGCCATTCTCCTGCCTCAGCTTCCTGGGTAGCTGGGATTACAGGTGCCCGCCACCACACCCAGCTAATTTTTTGTATTTTTAGTAGAGATGGGGTTTTGCCATTTTGCCCAGGCTCATCTCAAACTCCTGAGCTCAGGCAATCCACCCACCTCGGCCCCCAGAGTGTTGAGATTACAGGCATGAGCCACCATGCCCGGCTGATCTTTGTGTTTTCAAAGGGATACCTGACCCCAGCCCTAGTCAGTTTGCCTTCCCCCTGTTCAAAGGAAACAATTGTAATGAGATCTTGTAGAAACGTCCCTAAACATTTGGCACCTGCCTTTCATTTTTTAATTTCTCCAGGTGAGGGAAGTCACCACGGACCTCTGTGGGTCATCTTGTAAAGGGCAGTCCCCAGTCCAGCCAGGGCCCAGTGCCAGATAGCCTCCCCACCAGAGCCTGGGGCCCAGTGATCTCGAAGGGGCATAGAATTCGGCAGTGCTGTGGTGCTCAGTGCTGCGGCATCACAGAGGGAAGGGGGTGTGGGGCAGGGTCTGGGAGACACCAGGTGTCCGATTCACCTGTCCCCTCCCAGGGGAGGCTCGCTGTGCCCTGGTGTCTGGGTTTCTACCAGGGTTGGTCACAGGCATAGCTGAGCTCAGGCCCCAGCCCCTCCAGAGGTGGAGCTGGTCCCAGCAGACCAAGGCCCCATGCACATCTTACCCTAACTTAGCCCGGGCTCTCCAGGGTGGCCTGGGCCCAGGAGAAACACGGGCCCTCCATCAGATGGGACATTCCCAGGGCTCAGGCCCAGACCTTCCCTGGGCGTGTGCAGGGTGTGAGCAATTGCCTGGCGCTGCGTGGCCCCCGGGGCTTTGCTGCCCTTCTGTGGGCAGCATCTCCACGCGTGGACACCCCTGTGGCCCCAGCTGGCCGGCGAGACCCGGGGCAGTAGGTCTCAGGCTGTGGTTGCTGAAGATGTGGGTGGCCTGGCGTCTGCACCAGTGGCAGTGCTGTGCTGGCCTCAGCAGGCAGATGAGTGGCGAGGCCCCGTCTCCGGCTTGCCTGCCCAGCGCCCAGTGTCCGTGCCAGCTCAAGGCGGCCCCTTTGCAGCACAAGACCACCTCGTGAAGATCTTTTTTCTTTCTTTTTTTTTTTGAGACGGAGCAGGTTCCGCTCTTGTCGGCCCAGGGCTGGAGTGCAGTGGGTGTGATCTTGGGCTCACTGCAACCTCTGCCTCTGCGGGTTCAAGTGATTCTGCATAGCCTCCTGTGGTAGCTTGGGATTACAGGCTGCCCACCACCCACACCCGGCCTAATTTTATATATATATATATATATATATATATATATATAATTTTTTTTTTTTTTTTTTTTTTTTTTTCTTTTTTTTATTTGAGACGAGGTCTCGCCCGTTGTGTGGCCCCGCGCTCGCGCTCGCTCGCGCGCGCGCGGGGCGGATTGTCGCTGTTCGCTCTGTGAAGCTTTGTGTGTGGCGTGGCCCGCGGTGGGTTCCCATTCTCGCCGCCTCAGCCTCCCCGGCCCCGCTCGCTCGCGGACTCACCAGCCCGCCCCGCCCCATGCCGCTACGCTCCTTTCTTGTATGTCTCTCTCCGTCCGCGCGGGGTTCACGCCCATTGTTAGCCAGGATGGTTCTCGATCTCCGTTTGACCTCGTGATCCACCCGCCTCGGCCTCCCAAAGTGCTGGGATTACAGGCTTGAGCCACCGCGCCCGGCCAATTTTTATATTTTTAGTAGAGATGGGGTTTCGCCATCTTGGCCAGGCTGGTCTGAGAGAATTCCTGACCTCAAGTGATCCGCCTGCCTCGGCCTCCAAAAGTGCTGGCATTACAGGCGTGAGCCACCGCACCCGGCCTGTGAAGGCCTTTTCTGAAGGCAGCTACCTTTGAGAAGTGACTGTTGAGCCAGCACTCCCTGCTCTGGTCCCACCCTCTGTATGCTAGGGTGGTCCTGCACCTGTCGGGGAGGGGGCCGAGGACACAGCACGGGGCTGGGGCGGAGCTCTGTGCTGGTGCTGCCTGCCATCCCAGTTCTGCCGTTCCCCCAGCGCACCCCGCAGCCCCACCCCTCCAGCTGACGCCTGCTCCCTCTCTCTGCAGAACGGGCTCATGTCGGGGCTGATGCAGATGCTGCTGCTGAAGGTGTCTGCGCACATCACCGAGCAGCTGGGCATGGCCCCGGGTGGCGAGTTCAGGGAGGCCTTCAAGGAGGTGGGCACAGGGCGAGGTAGGGGGTGACCACAGGGATGTGGCTCACAGGGGTGGTCTGGGGCTCCCACTGCTCCCCAACGCCCAGCCTCTGCTCCAGGCCAGCAAGGTGCCTTTCTGCAAGTTCCACCTGGGTGACCGGCCCATCCCTGTCACCTTCAAGAGGGCCATCGCTGCGCTCTCCTTCTGGCAGAAGGTCAGGCTGGCTTGGGGCCTGTGCTTCCTGTCAGACCCCATCAGGTAGGGCTGCCCCCAGGACCCCGGCTGGCCTGCAGAGTGGTCTGCAGGAGGCTCCAGGCCTTCCTGTGCAGGTCCAAGCGCAGCCAGTCCTCACTCGAGGCCTTCCCTGCCCTTTCCGTCTGCCACAAATCCCAAACAAACGTGCTGTGGTCCCTGCCCGGTGTCCACGGTGCCAGCCCTCCCCCAACACGCTGCCCCATCCCTGCGGGGCTGCAGCCACCCTCTCCACAGCAAGGACGACGTGGAACGCTGCAAGCAGAAGGACCTGCTGGAGCAGATGATGGCTGAGATGATCGGCGAGTTCCCGGACCTGCACCGCACCATTGTCTCGGAGCGCGACGTCTACCTGACCTACATGCTGCGCCAGGCCGCCCGGCGCCTTGAGCTGCCTCGGGCCTCTGACGGTGACGGCTGTCCCTGGGCACGGGGCCGCCCGTGAGGCTGAGGCCCGAGCGGGTACTGACCCCTTGTCCTTCCCCACAGCCGAGCCCAGGAAGTGTGTCCCCTCTGTGGTGGTGGGCGTCGTGGGCATGGGCCACGTGCCTGGCATTGAGAAGAACTGGAGCACCGACCTCAACATCCAGGAGATCATGACGTGAGCGCCCACCCCACCCCGCGAGCCCCGCCCCGCAAGCCCCCAGGTGGAGGCTGAGCCCCCGGGAGGCCAACCGCACATGGCGGTGACCCAGAGGTCGGGGCTGGGGTGTGGGGAGCCCACCCCCAGCCAGGCCCAGCGCCCCCTCCCTCCCGCAGCGTGCCCCCGCCGTCCGTCTCCGGCAGAGTGTCTCGGTTGGCCGTGAAGGCGGCCTTCTTCGGTCTGCTGGGCTACAGCCTGTACTGGATGGGCCGCCGCACTGCGAGCCTGGTCCTGTCGCTGCCCGCCGCGCAGTACTGCCTGCAGAGGGTGACCGAGGCCCGGCACAAGTAGGAGACTGCTCCCCGCCCGCTCGGGCCCCTGAGGAGCCAGTGCCCCCGCGGCACTTCCTGGGTGCCAGGCGCATCCTAGCCCGCCGGAGGCCCCTGCCACCCCCCATGGGGGTCTGGGCCCGGCCTCGCCTGCCCTCCTGGTCCAGTCACCCCTCCCCCAGCCCACCCAAATAAAGGATTATTTAACTGTCTGAGCTCAGGCCTCCCGGCAGCCCCTCCCCTCCCATACTGCAGGGGCTGTTCACCGGCCTCTGGACAAGACGCCCAGCTCCGAGGAGGCAGGGGCTTGGAGGAGCCGAGGCGTGCGCTGCCCTCTGAGCCCTGGTGGCGGGCGGGGGACAATGGCCACTGTCCCTACCTCACTGTGCCTTCCTGTGCTCCAGCCATGGGAGCTTCGGCCCAGGGGCGGCTCCTGGGGGCTCCAGGGCAGGCAAGACTGGGACAAAGGCCCGGCCCTTGAGCTCCAGCCAACCCTGCCATGCCCCCGGCATCCTGGCCCCGGCCACCTCCCCGGCGCCGTCTGCCTGCAGGGATTCTGTGTTTTTGGCTTTTTTAATGTCTCAAAATCTTTTACTCAGGTAATTTTAATTTCAAAGAGAAAAACTGAAGTAAATGTCAAAAAACACCAGCCTTAAATCCAGGGGGACAGAATTCTTGTTCTGGGGTCTGTCCCTAGTGGGCTTGTGTGCAGCCAAACATCAGCTCTGGCTCCAGGCGCAGCCTCACCTGGAAGCCTGTGTCCTGAGCCCCCGGAGTGAGGGGGTGCCCAGGGTGTCTGGCCCTCTGTGGGCAGAGAATGTGTGCACCTATGTGGAAGGCCAAGGACATGGGCTATGGCCGGGCCTGCCCCGCTCAGGCCCCCTGCCCGGCGGCCGTCTGTGTGTGGGGCCTCCCGTGTGCGGGGCCTCCCTCCTGGCTGTCCAGGACACGGCCTGTGCAGCCCCAGCCTGGACCCAGGTCACCTCTGCTTGTGTCTGTCCCGACTCAGTGTTGAGTCAAATCAGGTGTGCATCAGGAGCTGGCCGTGTCCTTCCTGCCACACTCGGGGATTCATTCCTTAGAAACTGAAATAAATTCTAATTTTGGAAATCCTGTTTTGTGACGTGTGGAAATGGGGTTCAGGTAATGAAGGATCCCGGCCTCTTCCCCCATGCTCCAGGGCAGCGTGTGCTGGGGGCCCTGCAGGGGCCCTGGGGGAGCTTGCCTGGTTTCCAGCGGAAGAGACAGGGTCACTGTCCCTCCATGCTGACCTGTGGGACCCTTCTCACCCACCAGGTGGGACGCAGGTGGCCTGCTGACACTCAAGACCCTCCATACCCAGTCCCACCAGATTCCAGAGTGTGGACAGACTGAGCCAGACCCGGGCCGGGGGTCGAGGAGACAGATCAGGAGGGCCCAGGGCCTGGGGAACAGGGAACAGGGGTGCCCAGAGCGGCCAGGCGGGGGCTGCTGAGGAGGGAACGGTTGCTGTGGGCTGCAGGGGAGGGTCGGGCACAGGCACTTCACCACGTTGTCCCTCATCCGGTCACCTGCCCAACCCACGCGGAGTGTCCTGAGGGCTTCACCCGCAGCCCCGAAGGGGCAGAGCTGAGGTCACACAGGTCTCGGAAGCCCACGCTGTGGCCCCAGGAGAAGGTTCTGGATGTGGCTCCGGTAAGTGAAAGGTGGACTCACGGCGCTGCGGGAATAAAGGGAAACCACAGGCAGGAGGGAGGCGCATCCAGAATCCGCGGCCACCGGCCTCTCGGACTGTCCTCTGGGGCCGGGGCCGGAGGAGATGGAAAGCGGGGGCACCACAGGCTCGTCTGAACCCGCGCGTTCATTGGGCCACACCGACCCCAAACCCCTCCCCCGGGGGTCGGGTCCTTCAAGCCGGCCGAAGACCCCGGTGCCCGCCCAGGCCTCCGGGAGCGTCTGCGCCTGCGGCCTCGCGGGGCCTCTCCGAGCCCGGGCGCTGTTCCACGGGCCGGGCACGGGTCCAAGGCCCTTTCGTTCCTAGACGGCAGGCGAGGGGCCCGAGAGGCCGGAGGCCAGGGGACACCCCGAGAGGCGGCGCGAGGCTCCGGCGGCCCAGAGCTGCGGCGGGGTCCGGGCGGGGTCCCGGCCGCCTGTGGGGCGCAGCGCTAAGCCCCGGCCCGACCTGAACGGACGTGGGCCTCGGTCCCTGCTGCCGGCGCCGGTGCAGCCGAGGAAATCCGGGGCTGCCCGAGCGGGGTCGTCGCTGGCGGTCTGGGAGGCGTTTCCATCGGTCACCCCGCTCGCGGCAGCGCGCGCCCCATGACGCCGGCGGCCACCCCGGACGCCTCAGACCCTCGGGCAGGGAGATGCGGACAGACCGACAAGGCAGCCAATTAGAGCCCGGCCAGACACCGCGCCTCCCGCCCCCACACACCCCCACTGGCGATTGGGTTGCGGGACGCGCGGGGCGGGGCTTCCGGGAGGGGCAGGCTGGCTTCCGGGCGGGAGAGGCTGGCTTCCGGCGGGAGCGCCGCCGCGGATGGCCGCGTACAGGGCAGCTCTTGGGGGTTCGCTCGCAGCTGCCCGACTCCTGCCCCTCGGCCGCTGCCACCCGTCGCCCGCGCCCGGCTCTACCTTGTCGGGCGCCGCCATGGAGCCCGCGCCTTGCTGGCTGGCGGGGCTGCGCTTCGACAACCGCGCCCTGCGCGCGCTGCCCGTGGAGGCGCCGCCTCCCGGTCCCGAGGGCGCCCAGTCCGCGCCGCGCCAGGTGCCCGGGGCCTGCTTCACCCGCGTGCGGCCCACCCCCCTGCGGCAGCCGCGCCTTGTGGCGCTGTCGGAGCCCGCGCTGGCACTGCTGGGCCTGGGCGCGCCGCCCGCACGCGAGGCCGAGGCCGAGGCCGCGCTGTTCTTCAGCGGCAACGCGCTCCTGCCGGGCGCTGAGCCCGCCGCGCACTGCTACTGCGGCCACCAGTTCGGCCAGTTCGCCGGGCAACTGGGCGACGGCGCCGCCATGTACTTGGGCGAGGTGTGCACGGCGGCCGGCGAGCGCTGGGAGCTGCAGCTCAAGGGCGCTGGGCCCACGCCCTTCTCCAGGTGGGCCGGGGCGGGCGAGGGGCGCGGGTGGGTCCTCCCCGCCGGGGCGCCCCTGCCCTCCACCCAGCGCGGTATTGGGGGCGTCCCGAGGCCACTGCCAAGTGGGGCCTCCTCTCCTCCCGCGGGAGCGCGGTGCTGGCAGCCGCCCGCTCGCTGTGCTCATCAACCCGCCGAGGACCTTGGAGTCAGCTCCACCAGTGACGCCACTCATGTTTACCGACGTTCGCTGGGGCTCCAAGTCCAGGGGCGGGAGCCGGGGTGAGAGGTTAGGCTAACCCTAACCCTAACCCTAACCCCGCAGGTCCCCAGCCTTCCTCCGATCGCCCGTGGGGCGGGCCGCTTCGTCCAGCAGCCTCGCTCTGCTACTCTGGCCATGTGTTCCATGCAGGCGGCCCTTTTTAACCCCGAAGTGAGGTGGGCATCGTTTAGATTTCGGGGGAGGGGGGCACACAGGTAGTCTAAGGCAAGATCTGGGTCCAGATGCCGCCAGGCCCACCGGGGAGCCGTGCACGCGCCACCTGCCTCTTGTGTACAGATAGCACTTCGTTCTGTTCTGCTCTTTTTCACTAAACAATTAATGTACTTATTCCATATTGTTTACTGCTTTTGTGGAATGACTAGGAAAACAATACACACAAGTGTACATTTTATGTTCAGAGAAATGCTAAAGCCGCGTCTCATCCGGCCCCTCCCTGTGCTCTCATCACCTTCCCCTCCAGTGCCTGAAATGCCCCTCAGTCCCTCAGCATCCCTTCCCTGGGGCTCCGTCTGCCAAGCAAGCTCCTCAGACTGGGGTCTTCCTCACTCCCCCGTCTCCACATCCGTTCTGTTCTGTGTCTGAGGGCAGCCTGGCCCTCCCTCCCCACCCCCAGCGACCTGCTTAGTGTTGACGCACCAGCCGCCCACGGAGCATTTCTGACCCTTGGAACGTGGTGGAGATGCTCAGCCTGGGGCCTGCTTATCCTGTGAGCATTTTTTTTTTTTTTACTTTTTTGTTTTTCTTTTTGGCGAACATCTTAAACTTTCGTTTTGGTGATATTTTGAGTTATAAAGACAATTTTTTATGAGAGTAATCTGTCACTGGAAGACAGTTTTTATATTTGAAGACTCGAGTATTAACTCAGTGCTTTCAGACCTGAGGTATGCTAGAATATATATTCTCCTAAAAATTAAGGAGTCCTCTGACCTTTACTCAGGCCCTGGCTGTCATCCCCGCAAGTGTCCTGGGGTCCCTGGCCTCACCAGTTCTCTGAGATTGAGGCTAACATCTGAAGTGGCCGTGAGAAGGAAGAGACTTGAGCGGTGAAAACTGGAAAACATTACTGAAAGAAAGTAAACATAAATGGAAACATCCCTTGTTCATGGGTTGGATAACTTTATATTTGAAAGACAACAGTACTCTTGAAGAGATTCAGTACAGTCCCTATCAAAATACCAATGACAGTTTTTGCAAAAATAGAAAAACCCATTCTAAAATTCACATGGGGTCAGGTGCAGTGGCTCATTCCTGTAATCCCAGCACTTTGGGAAGCCAAGGCAGGAGGATTGCTTGAGGCCAGGAGTTGGAGACCAGCCTGGGGAAACAGCAAGACCCTGTCTCTTCAAAAAAATGTTTTTTTTATTAGCTGGGCATGGTGGAGTGTGCTTCTCATTGCAGTTACTCAGGAGGCTGAAGTGGAAGAATTCACTTGAGCCCAGGATTCAAGGCCACGGTGAGCTGTGATTGTCCCATTGCACTCCAGCCTGGATGACAGAGTGAGACCCTGTCTCAAAAAGTAATACAGTTCACATGGAATCTCAAGGGACCCTGAATGGACAAAACAATCTTGAAGAAAGTTGGAGGACTCATGCTTCCTGATTTCAAAACTTACTACAAAGCCGCAATCAGCAAAACAGTATGGCATTGGCATAAGGATAGACATAGACCAGTGGGATGGAATAAAGAGCCTAGAAATAAACCTTCACATATATGGTCAGCAAATTGTCAACAAGTGTGCTGAGACCATTCGATGGAGAAAGACTTTTCAACAAATGGTGCTGGGAAAACTGGATCCTCATGCAAAAGAATGAAGTTGGGTCCTTACCTACACCATGAACAAAGTTAACTGAAGAGTGGACCAAAGACCTAAGCATAAGAGCTAAAAGTCTTAGAGAAAATAGGGAAAATGCTTCATGACATTGGATTTGGCAGTGATTTCTCAGCTGTGACACAAAAGGCACAGGCAACTAAAGAAATAGGCAAACAGGACTTCATGAACACTTTAAAAATTATGCATAAAAATACAGTATTAACAGTAAAAATGCAGCCCACAGAATGGGAGGAAATATTTGCAATTCATGTATCTGGTGAGTGAGTAATATCCAGAATATACAGAGAACTCTCAAAACTCAACAACGGGAAAAAAAAAACCAATTCAAAAATGGACTGGGAGGCTGAAACAGGAGAATCACTTGAACCCAGGAGGCGGAGGTTGCAGTGAGCCGAGATCGCACCACTGTCCCTGGGTGACAGAGCAAGACCCTGTCACCAAAAAAAAAATGTAAGTTAAAAAGTGTTGAGGCTGTGGAGAAATTGGAACCCTTCTGCACTGCTGTGGGAATGTAAAATGATACGGCGCTGTGGAAAACAGTGTAGAAGTTCCTCAAATAATTAAAAATAGAATCACCATGTGATTCAGCAGTCCTGCTTCAAGAGCAGGCTCTCAGGGAGACATTTGTATACCGATATTCATAGCCAAAAGGCAGAACAAGTGTCTATCAGCAGATGAATGGAATATCATTCATCCTTAAGAAAGAAGATGCTGACGTGCTACAACACGGATGAACCTTGAGGACATGCTGCAGAGTGAAATAAACTGGTCACAGAAAGACGAATCCTGTGCGATTCCACTTACCTGAGGTACCTAGAGAGCCACATTCATAGAGACAAAGTAGAATGGTAGGTGCCAGGGGCTGGAGGGAGTAGAGGAATCGGGAGCTAGTGTTTAATAGGGACAAAGTTTCAATTTCACAAGACAGATTTCTGGACATGGATGGGG